AACTATAACCCTTAAATAAAATCTAGCTATCTATCTTTCCTACTCCTAAATACGGGTATAGAAATAACGAGCTTTAAAACATAGCTATTTTACTTATAATACGAGATTATCTAAACTTAGTAATATTATCGTTAGTAAGCCCTTGCCCCTCCTCTTATAAAAATACTGTTATATTTATAGCGCCGTCTCCTAAGAAATTATAATATTATAAAAACTTCCGTAACTATTTATAGCCGTTTATAGAGCCCTACTATAACTAAACATTCCGAAATAGCAATATAGGCTTATTTTAATAATCTTGCTAAGAAATTGCTTCTCGATTTATATCCTAAGCCCGGACTAACGTTATATAAGCTAAGCCGCCTTAAGGAGTAAGCTATTATTTAGTAGTAAAGCGTTTAGCGTACTTTATTTTAGATATACGAGGCCGTTCTTATTATTATTATTTTATTAAAGCGGGTAATAAGTTTAGGTTATAATTAAAACGTAAATTACCTAATAAAGTAATTTTATTAGTACTAGCTATTATAACCCCTAATTAATACGTCCTTAAAGTATAAGAATCCTATAGTAAAATAAACATTGCCCTCTCTTAGCTTATAAATAAACTAAAAACTAGTTTTTATAGTATACGCTAAGTTTCTTGCTATTATTACTAATACTCTAACCGCTATTAAAGTAAAAGGATTAGTAATTCTTAAATATACTAATTCGTAATTAATACCTACCTCCCCTTACTAAAAGAAGGGCTTAGACTAAGGGCTACCCCCCGGGCGCTTGTTATAATACTTAATATAGTATATTAAAATAATACGATATTTCGGACTATTATTTATAGTTATATAATTTTATAACGTATTCTATAATTACCGTTTATTTCCTAAATTTTTAAAAGAAATAATATTAAATTTAACGGTAAGGTAAAGGGAATATAGTAAGTAGGTAAAGGGGCCTACGAGGATAAGTAATAGGCCTGCTAAGCGCTTCGCTAAGCGTTCTTAATATTTAATATTAATAATTAACGTAAAGGGTAAGCGTAAAATACTAAATAAAGTAAACGGAATTACTAAAAGTAGCTAAATACTAAAAGAATTAATAACACTATTATAATAAGAGAGACTAAAGCTTACTAAATAGAGCGTACTATACTTAATATTAGCATACCTACTACGGGTAATTAAAAATAAAGACGTAAATCTACCTCTAGCTAGCTTTAGTTAGCTTTAATAAAAACCTTAGTTTATTACTTAAATTATTATAAAAGATAAGAGCTTAAAAAAAGTTAACGTTATATAAATATCGTAATAAAAAGCATATATAGCTAGGGCTAATAAGAGAGCTAAGTAGCGTAAATAAATATAACGAAGAAGAATAAATATAAAGGGAACTTCGAAGTATATTAGCGCATTAAGTAGGGTAAGCGCTCTTTTATAAGCTTATAAAAATAATAAGGGATAGTATAGCCGAGAATTACCTAATATAGTAAGTACTAGAAATAGCATATTTAAACCGCCGTTTCCGAAAATAGGCAAGCCGTCTCGTATTTTATTATTATATTAATATAAGCGCGGTTTTTATTACTAAGCTCGGCTATTACTTACGTAATTAACTAATAATCATTATTATTAAACCTATTATTATTATTATTATAACTAAGGTCCTTAATTTATTTCTATTTAACTTTAAGTATAATATTAAAGTTAATATAGTAGATATAGAGTTATTATTAAACTTTAAGAAACTACTTATTAAGTATAGTCTTTATTTATTTATCGTAGTTAGTAATAATAACAGAAGGCTAGCGGATTAAGTATTACTTAATTAGTTAACGGATACTTATTAAAAAGAACTAAAACCCTTTTAATCTCTTATTATTAATAAAACTAAATATTATATTATAAATAGACCTAAAATAGGTCTACTTAGTAGCCTAAAAAAGAGAGAGCTTAAAGTAATTAATATTATATATATTATTAAAGCTAATTACTTTAGGGAACTGCTTTTACATTTAAAAATAGTAAAAAAAAGTCTAAATAAGCCTAACTAAGTAATTAAGCTTATTAACTACTTACTTAATAATATATAGGATCCCTTATTTATTAAATAGTTTAATTAACGCCGCTATTAGTAAGTATTTAGCTAGTTTTTTTTAGTTTATACGAGCCCTAGCGTTATAAATATCTCGCTAAGTAAATAAGAACTCTAAGAACTACTCTTAAACAATAGTACGTATATTACGTACCCAAATCCTAACCCGTTAGCTTATAATCTTAATAATATTTTTAACTAGCTAAGTAAGCTTATAATAAAAAGGGTATATAAATACTTTAAAACTAGGCTTATAGTTATATTAGTTATATTAAGGATCTTTATATTATTATAATAACTATTATCCCTCGACCTTAATTTTAATAATTAACTTCTATTTATAGCTATATTTTTAGGATTTCCGTTATTTTAGACTTATATTACGGCTAGGCTTAAAATATTTATATCGGCCGTATTAAAATATATACTAAATATTCTTCTTATTTTACTTATACTTATAATATTTTATAATACTAAAACTATTAGCCTTAATAAAAATATTAACTCGATCGAAAAGAGTATTTATTATTAGCTTTAGGTTACTAAGAATTAATAAGTTTAGGGTTTTATTTAAAGGAGGGGAGGACGATTTATTACTTTAAATACGATAAGAAACTGCGGTTTAAAAAAATAATAAACTTAAAAAAGGGTTTTATTATAAAAATAAATAGGGTAATAAGTTCGTTTAAGAACCCTACGTTTTTTACTATAAATAGCTTTACTTATATTATTAAATAAAGCTAGTTATTAACTTTTTATTAGTCCTAATAACTTATATAATAAGCTAAAGAATATTATTAAACTATTTTATTATAAGCTAAGTTAGTTATTAAGATTTATTATAAAAAAGAGAAAAACTAGGCTTTAGTAATATTTGGGGGAGGGTAGTATACTAAATAGTTTATATTTTTTTTAAAAAACGGTATATAAAATAAAATATAAGTTATTAAAACTCTTTATTAAAAGGGGGGGGACTACGTATTAATAAAAATTAGGGAATAATAAAAAGCTAGAAAATATTAGTTTTATTAAGGAATTTTTAATTAAAATAGAGAGTTAGTTCTATTTTAATATATTAGTATAGATAATAAAATAGTAGTTACGTTTTTTATAATAGCTCAGGTAAAATATCGTTTATTAAGTTATTATATATATAGGGATCGCTAATTTTATAAAACTAGCTAATACTAATATAGTTTCTATTTAAAATAAGAAATAATAGTATATTATTATTATTAGAGCGTTAGCGTTTTATAAAACGGTTTTAATTATTTAGGCTATTAAATTAAGCTTAGTAACGTAAGCTCGGTACGTAAGTTATTAAAAGAGCTATTTTATAATATATAAACTAATATAATTTTAAAGAAAAGAGAACGTAAAACGTATTAATTATAGCTTTATAATAAAGCTCTCTTAAAATATAATTACGTAAAAGAGATTATAAAAAGGGATAAGTACTTTAAAAAAAAGTAGTAAAATTTAAGTATATTAATAATAAATTTTTAGACTAATTAAAAATAGAGAATATTATATGTCCTTAAGAGCTATGCGTCCGTATTAATTCGTTATACGTCCCTATTAATTCCTATAAATAATAACTAAATAATTAATAAAACTACCCTTAAGTAGTTAAAAATAGTATTTTTATTATAAACTAAGACCTCTCTTTTTAAAAAGCTTAATATACTTAATAAGCTTTAATTATTAGTTTTAAATAGCTATAGGAGTTATATAATAATAGAATTTATATAAGAATACTATAAAAATAACGTTTACTTACTATTTTTATTATTATATACTTCTTATATTCTCTAGTTATTAAATATAACTATTTTTAAACTTATTAAGTTTAAATATAAAAAAGAGCTTAGTAAAAAGGATATAATAAATAATTCTATTATTATTAAAAAGTAGTACTTTTTAAACTATTATTAAAAAGCTCGTTTAATTAATTTAATATTATTAAATATATAAAATAAATAAAAAATAATTAGACTATATCTCTTTAATATAACTAAATTATTTACTAATTTAATAATCTTACTTAACTTAGTTATACTAATTAAAAAGATTATAAATACTAAATAAATAATTAATAATACTAAAAAAGCTATTAACTAAATATTAATAGCGTTTATTATTAACTAATTAATTCTTAAAAAGGTTAACGAGCTTTATAATTAATTAAAATTATTTATAGAGCTTAGTTTAGACTATAATACTTAATAATTATTATTTAAAAAAATAAAAAAAGTATTTAATAAATAAGCCTATTATTTAATAATATTTTAGTATTATATTCGAGTTTTAAAAACTAAAGTTAACTAATTAAAACTATAAAAAAAAAAGAGTATATTAATAAACTTAAATATTAAGTTTATAAATATTTAGAATATATAGAGAGCTTAAAAAGATTTTAATAACTATTTAGTTAGTCCTAATTAACTTATAAGGGTTAAATTACTTAGGGAGAATAATAACTATATTATTATAATAATAGAAAATAGTTAATTAATTAAGTATAGTTAGTAGCAATGTTTTGATACTATGTTTGATGGGGTGGCTAAAAGGGGGTGGGTCGACTTATTGTAGATGGTGTTGACCACAATTAAAGCATCTTGCCATACTCGATCACTTCTCCCGACCCTGATCCTACTACACTACGGCTGAGGCTATCCGAGATTCAAACTCACTGTCAGTATGTTCGATGCTCAAGAGTGACGATAGCGATATCTGGGACGCTCGTCCAGTCTCTCACATGACTGCCTAATGTCACTACATGTATCCGATCTAACAGTACATGCATTACGTATCTGATCCTGAGCCAGGTCCGTACTACATTATTAAAATTGTCCGAGTAAGCTTGCGATGATTTGTGACAGCAGCTCATCCCCAATTCTTCATCCCGTCCCTTAACCCTGGACTCTAGCAGTCATCATATCTTCTTTTATGATGTCAGCGGCCCTTTCGGCAACCGCATAAACAGTGCTCTGGATGTTACCCAAGGGCTCAATCGGGAAGACACTGGCATCGACAATGCGAAGATTCTTCGCCCCATAGAGCCTTAGTCGCTCGTCAACAACGCCACCATCCTCCTGTGGCATCATAGCACAACTGCCCGAAACATGGAACACTGAAATCTGTCTTTGACGCACAATCTCCTTGGCAGTCTCCAAGTTGTCGCCCATCAACTCGGGCAAGCGTTTTCCTCCAGGCTTGAGTAGCGAGCTGAAAGGTTCAGTGCCTACGATTCGCTCGACAAATTGAACGTTGCGGGCCAGAAGCTCCAGGTCGAGGGGATTTGAGTTGTATTTCGGGTCCCATGTTGGCAACGCTTTGAAATCAGGGCTAGTAATGTGGACCGTTCCCCGAGAAAACGGGTGGTTCAACACCGTCATAACAGTGATGTAATTCTCCGGCCTGGAAGGCAAAATTTACTCGGCCATGTTGGCTGGATGATCATTAATCGTAATTTGAGAAGGAAAAAGCAGGTATTCGCTGCTTGGCTCGTCCAATGTCTCGATAAGAGAGCGCACAAGCTTTCCAGTCGGCGAGCTCGCATGCTTTCCATGTGTAGCCAGAAGAGACTTCTTTGCGTCTCCTGACAACAGCCCGTTGTTGTCGGCGAGAGGCGTGTAAGCAGCGCTAATTGTGCTCTGTCCCAGTGGGCCCTCACGCGTGGCCATATACTGGCCGACAACAGCGTTGAGGATGTTTCCGTCTCGGAGAACATCCGCTGACGGCACTCCTTCATTGACCTCAAAGCTTTGGCAGACAATCGGGTGATCCTGCAAGTTCTCTCCAACATTGGAATTATCAATCACCACAGGAATGCCGTGGCTCTCGAGCAAGTCTCTTCCACCAACGCCAGACAGCTCCAATAGCTGAGGTGTTTGGAGAGTTCCTGCAGCAAGGATCACTTCCCCTTTCGCCTCGATTATCTTCTCCTCGCCGGCCTTGCTAACAATGAGAACGCCAGTCGCAGATACACCGTCTCCGGCAGTATCAAAGATGACTTTCCTGACCTGTGTCTCGGTCAAGACTACCAGGTTTGGTCGTGCAGCCACTTCCGGTGTGTAATAAGCGCTCGCCGCGAAGCTTCTCGTCTTGTTCTCCGGATCAATGCTGCACGGGTTCTGAAAAGCACCATAGGCCTTCCCACTCCGAGGATCACCAGTCACGCCAAGGCCAAGCTTATCGAATGTGCTCATCCACGCAGCGTTCATAGAGCTGTAGCCTTCGCCAAAGGAGACCTGAATTGGGCCTTTTCCGCTCAAAGTTTGATCGTGGTAGTCCAGCCCAACTATGTCCTTTGCGGACTGGGGAGGAGGATGATCAGTGCCAAACTTGCGGAAATAAGGCGCCAGCTCGTCGAAACTCCAGCCGGCGTTGCCCAGCGCACCCCAGGCATCTAAAACTCCCCTTGATGGATACAGCATCAACATGAAGTTTAAGGCAGAGCTGCCTCCAAGCATTTTGCCTCGTGCTTGGTTAATTCTTCGGTTGTTCAAACCAGGCTAGCCAAGGTCAGATGATTGCAGTCGGCCGATAAAGGGGTTGGCTCACCTGAGGCACTGAGGTGAAATTCCAGTCATATTCATCCTTTCCATAGACGCCTGCCACTAAGCCAGGCGTCAAGACCAAAGGGTCCGCGCTCTTGTCGGCACCAGCTTCAACAACTAGAACACGAGTGCCGTTGTCTTCGCTAAGGCGAGAAGCCACAACTAGACCCGCTGTTCCACCACCTACAACAATGTAGTCGAAAGAGGAATCGAGATCTTGGAAAGAAGACATGGTATTTCTTCTGAGTTTTTGGCGGCTGTAGTCAAGATTACAAAGGGAGAAAGACTTTAACTTCAGCTTGCACAAGAGGGTTTTCTTATCTCAACTGACGTGACTTCGCCTAGTGTGCGATGCTAGGATGGATGGCCATCAACACTCCACAGTAAGCAAGTAGGCACACATTCAGCCAACTGCATGAATCTAGCCTCTGCTGGTAGGATAGTCCGCAATGCCCTGGTCAGAATCCACTATCGCAGTCTTTGGTTGCATTCGTTGGTTGTCTTTGGGAGAGAATACCAACACGACAGGGCCTGAGTTCATCACGCTTTCTTGATTTCCGGGCGAACAGCTCATGAGCTCTGAGCGACCTTATTCGAAAAAGGCACAGCATATCGGTTTTCTTTCTACTCGCAGACCGAAAGCGAGTTTCACTTTGCGAACCATTAACAACTGGAAGCCATGTCTATCCACTGACACAGGCTTGGACAAGTGGATATGGGGATGCATGTACTTAGCCTGCTCCCTATGTCTGTAGTCTTCCGCAAGTTCACATTTGTATCCTCAATTTGACAAGGTCGAAGTAGCAGTTCTGTTACGTGTGCGGTTCCGAGGATTCAGGCACCTTTCACTTTGTTTCATAGAGGCATTCAAGACGCGTTGTTACCAGTGCGCATTGCCGAACAAATTTCACCTTGCTGACCATGAGCTTGTCAGTGAATCCAAAAATGGATGATGTCCCGCGCAACCCCAGCAAAGTCCATCTAACGGTTGGAGCTAGGGACGGCACCACGGATCTCGTCCCGCGGCAAAACTCCCCGCGCCGCACACTCATTTGACAGATACGGATCGGCGCAGAACTTTTGTGTGGATGGCGCAAGTCAGTGGATCACTGCAGGGGATTTGCTGCAGGCATTCCGAAAGCTACAGCGCTTGCAACATCTATCATACCATGCGTGCTGTGCCAACAGTCCCAACCAACGGTGCAGAGGGCAACTCTTGAAGAATGCATACATTGGCCTCGGTCCGTAGTGAAGCGGTCATGATGGAGGAGCTAGCTGTTGTTGGGTTGATTGGCTGATTATTGTCCTCTCGCTGGCAAGCGCCTGGGAGCTTGAACATTGTGCGCAATCAGCTGCGCCATTTTCCTGTGGCCAGTATTAATGAAGTGTCAAGTTACGCTAGCTGCAGTAGTCGGCCTCGTTAAACTTCGAATAGTCACAAGGAGACGCCAAATTTCTGGCATTACCTCTCACTGTCAAGGCCTAGACTCTTTCGGCGGCAATAACAAAGTTCAACCCGTTCCGTCTTGCGGTCTCCAGCGGCTGCATTATTTCGGTCGGCTTGGCAGAGTTGCTGAAGATTCTGGCTAACCTGAGCCTAGCGTGAACGTAAGATCAGCGGATGTTGGGCAGCTGTGCCGCATACGAGCATGGCAATTTCCGCTTGCTGTGATGCGGAGGTACTCGTTTCCGTGTTAGGCCGCCTCACAGTGACAGGACCAACACCAGTGATCCGCGGGCACGAGTAAAACAAGCAGGGGCTCTAGCGAGCTTCAAGCGTTCGTGTCTAGCATGTTTAACAGCAGGATATCCTCAGAATCCAAAATGAGATGATGGGTTGGTTTCTTTGTTTTATTTTGGATTTTGTCCAAATCCGAACGATCGCGCTCGACAATATTTCCTTCAATCTCTTTGAGGCGAGATGTAGACAACGCCTTCTGGGTAGTTCTCGCTACTGCCCGCTATTATGGCGCTCCATGCTGTCAGCTTTCCAACCTTGCCGATAGTCAAGGCTCATCTTCTCGTGAACTGCGTATTGGTTCTCTTCGCAGTTCTTATAGTCACGCTCCGTTTCTTCGCACGCTTCTCCTCGGGGGCTAAGCTGTGGTGGGATGATCTCCTCATTCTCCTTGCAGTGCCTCAGGGCATCGGGATGTTAGTAATCCAAGGCTTGTGTGAGTACTCGGCCCCAAAACGAGGAACATAGTTCTGAATGGACCTGACGAATCTGCTATCAGGGTCGCCCATGGGTATCGGTTACCCGATCACAGACACCCTTCCAAACATCGTCATCATCCTCAAACTTCTAGTTGCCTACGAGTTCATATTCGCGACCTGTATCAGCACCATCAAACTCAGCGTCATGTTTTTCTACCTTCGAGTCTTTGTCAACCCAGGACTCCGAACCGCGACAAAATTCGCCATGGGCTTTGTCATGGTCTGGACAACGGCCAACATCCTCCAGGTCTTCTTGATTTGCCATCCATTCGAGGCAACATATAATCCAGCTGTCACGGGCAAGTGTGGAAATCAGATAGCATCGTTCATCGCCATCGGTGCTTTCAATGTCATTACAGACATCATGATTTTGACATTGCCGATATCGACTGTCTGGGCACTCAAAATGAGTACGCCTGCCAAACTTGGTATCATCGCCGTCTTCTCAACAGGCTTGATGTATGGCTGCCCTTGTATCCCTCCCCTTTGGCTGTAGGCTAACAAGAAAACGAAACAGAGTCAGCGTAGTTGCCATCATCCGCATCGTTAGCCTCACCAACCTCGATCTCCAGAACTTGACTGAAACAATGATATGGGCCGACTTTTGGTCGACCGTGGAGCCGAATTTGGGTATCATATGTGTTAGCATGCCGATGCTGGGATCACTGTATTCGCGGTGCACAGCTCGGCGGGGTGCTTCAAAGCTCGACGGGCCTTCGGACGCCAGCGACTACAACAATTCGAATAAGTTGAGACGATCGCACCCAAGCGCACCTGGTACTATCGTTTTGGCTACCATATACTCCCCGGAAAACGATGTACGCTATCGGTCTGAGGTTGCTTCGTTCGGACGTAACGGAAAGAACGATGATAGTGGGGATGACTTCGAGTCACGCCTGACCCCTGAACAAGAGCTTTTGGGCAGAGATAAAGTGATACAGGTAGAAACGCAGTGGACCGTGTCTCGCCAAGAGGCCTGATGAATTCCTTTACCAAGAGATCCAAAGTTTTCATTCGTAATAAAATTGAAAATTTGGCCCGACCGCCCTCGGCTTAGTTGTGATTGAGTGAGGCAACTGAGGTGGCCAGGTGCGAGCGTATCAATGCTAACGCTCGCATATTACACTTGGACAATTGACGACAGTTGTCAGATCTTGTGGGCTGAACACATGGCATCATACCAATTGCCCCCCTTTAAGCTTCTTCGAGAAACCTTCATAACGTAAACAGTAATAAACTACAATTGAGCGGCATGGCGTCACTCGGCGCCGCCTCTTATAAAATCCCGAGGCCTCGGTAACGGTTACCTAATCAGGAAAACCGGACCCGACGCCGACTAGCACGGGCCGTGTCTGCGTGGCCGTTCGACTCGTCTTTGCCATGACGTCTCACGACGGCCCCGAGATTTTACAAATTTTCGGCATCCTTCTTTCTACTTTCGTCTTCTTTCGGAAATCCAGCCCGTATTGGACGATGACTTTACCGAATATGCCCAGTAACGCCTCAAGCTCTAGAACCCACAAGTCGTGCGATGCATGCACGTCGCGCAAAGTTCGATGTCCAGGTAGGCGTGCTTGATGCTGCGTCGACATGTGCAGATATCTCAATGGAATGATAGCTAATCACCAAATTAGGCCCAGGTTCATCTGGAACTTGTACCAACTGCACGGTAAGATTTAGCACCTATCGGCATAATTCTCGCGACCTCTTTCGACGCCTGTACTGACACAATTTCCGTAGAGAAGGAAGAGCGAGTGCGTTTTCGGCGTGAGGAAACTGGCCCGCAGGCCAAACAGTACGTACCCTTTCGTTGCCATGTCCAAGGCAATATCGATTTTATGTCTTCGGGGCTCTTGAGGACTCATTAACAATCTTACGGACGGTTAGTTCAAAGACAATTCTTCCCTACGAGCCGGTCTTCCGGCACGCCTGATGAGATACAACAAGGGTGCACCGTATCGGTTTTAGACTTCGCAACACTGCCAACACCGGCATCTAAGTCACCGGATCCGACAATCTCGGAGAAATCATCCACTCCCGATCCAAATGCCCGACGGCCCGCCCCGCACCGGATTCCGGAACTCTACGTGGATCGAGTGCTCGATAGAGCTCGTAAAGCTCCGAGATCAACCAGGCCTTCCGAGGCCTCCAACTATGTCAAAGTAAGCCCACATTGATAGCCCCACTTTCTTGAACTTCTGCTCACTCCGAAAAGGGTTATGGTATTTTTGGTAAGTGTAATGTACTTCTAAGGGGAAATTCCATATCTCACCCTACCATCTCACGTACCCAATGACGCCCTGACCAGTAAGTCATAGGCGGTACGAAGAATTTGACCTTCTTTTCTGAAGGGAGATTGAAATCCCTCGCACAATGCCTCGGCCATGAGAAAGTCCACGATCTGGTCGGGCGAATTGCAAGCGCTGTTGAGGAACGCGGGAGGTTCGTCAAACTCCGTGCTTGTAGTTTGAATCGTCGACCTGAGCGCCCGGCCTGCCTTGACGACAAAGCCCTTCTCGCAAAGTATGTCAAATGTGAGTAATCTTCTTCTCCCATTCTTCTTGACTGTTATTTTGCAATGAGCTTATCATAAGCAGTATATTTTGAGCAAGTACACCCTCGGTTCCCGTTCCTCGACCGCGATGCATTCGAGAGGACTGCTTTTAGTCAGGATCAGCCTCACTCTGCGCCCAAAAGCAAGTCATGGATATGTCTCTATCATTCCGTTCTTGCTCTTGGTTGTCAATACGACGGTGGTGGATCTTTCGAGCCTGGGGAAGGTGATGCATGGAAGTTCTTCTCAATCGCTCTAGCCAACTTTGCCGATTTGATCATGCTACCAGACACTCTTACAACTTTCCAAGCTGTAGTAGCAATGATGATATACTCGCTTGGTATTGCTGGTATTGTGCTGGAGCACGTCCTCATGTCAGAAGCTGCCCGGCGAGCACAGAATCTCGCCGACGCCAAGTTTGTCGGAGCCGCAGCAGACGCATTCCGGCGGACTTTTTGGGTGTTTTACTCTTTGGAAAAGATCAATAGCTTCCATCATGGTAGATCATCTGTGAGCTCAATCCCCTGACTGACTATTTTGTCTCTTCCGACTGACATCCCCGAAAAGGCAATCATGGACTGCGATATATCCTGCTCCGTTCCATCCACACCCGAATCCTTCTTCTCTGGCGGCTTCGATTGGTTTTTATGTTTCGTCAGCCACGCGCGTCTGCTATCCCGGGCAAACACATCACTCTTCTCTGTTGGCGTATCTGACAACCCCGGGGAGTACCACCTAGACATCATCGATCAGCTTCTGGACGAGCTCGAAGATTGGAGAAGCTCACTGCCGGATAACGGCTTCAGGCCAGGCGGCTGGGTCAAACCTCACTCAATCATTGAAGACCAAGAGCGTACAGTTGCTCTAGTCACTCATTTTCTCTACTACAGTTTTCTCCTGACGATTTCTCGAATGGCTTTGAGGTACTTGCCAGTGTCAGAAAACTCTCCAGACTGTTCTCGCCGAGATGAAACTCTGAACACTGTAGAGCACAGTGCTCGTTCCTTGCTAGAATTGATCTCGATAATAGACATGTCGCCCTACACCCCCATGTGGTAAGTCGCACTTCCGATCCCAGTGTGCCTTGAATAACATAGGTCGTTACAGGATGATGGCAACAATTCCCATCATGGCCTTTTTTGTCTTATTCGATCTCGTCATCCATAATCCTCGGCAGATTCATACAGCAACCAACTTGGCGTTGCTTGACGTGGTAAAGGGCCACTGCAGCCGAATGGAAATGATCTCGAATGGTGCAATACCAGGATCCATGGTTGGCGAGTTTGCACAGATCGCTCGAAGTTATGTGAACGAGGTCAACGGACGGAGTCCAACCGGCCTGACACCACATGCGCCATCTGAAGCATTCCAGGCACTCACTACACAGCCTCAATGGTCACTGCCCCAGCAACCCAATTATGACGTCGCTTCAACGGACATTCACACGGACTTCTCGACTGTAAGTAAACCTATCACTGGATACTGTCAGCGAGCGGTACTTCACGGGGGCGATGTAGCATTAACGGAAATATTACAGATGAACTTGGCCTCTAACTCGACTATGACGGGACGTATGGATATCGAAGCACCCGCGGTTGTCCCCAGTCCGCTCGTCGGAACTGACGTGATGAATCTCTTCGAAGGCTGGCTCCCCGACCTGGATCCCATGTTCTTCCACACTATGAGCGCTCAGAACAACATGGACCAATCGACATCTCAGCATGACTTCCCGATTTCCTCGGATCCGTTGTATGGACATCCCTCTTGACGTATAATATTATTGTACCCAATAAACTCCCGTTACGTGGTACATCCCGCAAAATATCAAAATTCAATTACGATGTCCAGTCAGGCAGCCTAAGTCGATGTGCATAACACTGTGAAATCAGTCGGTTCCTGGATTTCCCCCCTCCAGAAACTTGAAGAATGTCAGACGATTGCCATCGTTATCCTTAATAGTGAATTGACGGTAACCCCAAGGCGTATCTCGGATAGCTTCGACAACTTCGACGTTTCCCTTGGACAATAAAAGGTCGTGGAACTGGTCCAGACCTGCCGTGCCCAAAGCGATCATTACTCCTCCAGGATGGAACTCGTTTGGTTCGCACAGGAAGAAGTAGATGTTGGCAGCAGCCTTATTTCCTGTGTAGACGGAGCAAAAGTAGAGCGGAGAGTCATCACCATTCTCGGGCTTGGTTCCGCCCAGGGTGAACCCCAGCTCGCTCGTATAGAAGTCGACTGTGGCAGCGATATCCCGCGAGCTAAGCGACGGGATTATCTTCCAAGCCGACCCGATACCCTCGCCTTCGGCCATGTACGTGAATCCGGTGTTTGGTGCGTAACCTTTTGCCCAGTCCCCGATGGGATAATTACATGCGTTAATGTTGTTACTTCGTGGTATTCGAGACTGGGGTCTGCCTGATCGCACGGATCAACGCGGCTTCTCCCTCCTTCTTCATGCACTCCACGTTAGGACAGTTGAGGCAGCGCAAGTATATCAGATGGGTTGGGTGAACGGACACCGAAGGCCGATCGATGACTGATGTCAACATCTATGCCGCGTAAAGAATTTGTTGTGTTCAGAGAGCGGTGAAGAAAATTCTAAACCGGACCACCGGCACTACATGAAGGAAGTTTCAGACGAATCGGTTGTGGTGGGTGTGATGGACAACGTCATGGTCACATTTGAGTCCAAGCCCATCCGCGTGAGGGACACACTCCTTTTCTTTTCTTCTTCTTGGCCTTTCTTGGCCTGTCTCTTTCAGCCTCCTCCTTGGGTATTTCCCCTCTTTTTCATCCGAGACTGTGCTCCATCGGCACCGTCAGCAAGCCAAGATGGTAACCTCAATTCATTGGCTAAACGTGGCCTAGCTCAGGTTGCTTTCGCATTTTCGGAGACTACCACGACTACCTAGATGTAGGAAGTTGAACAATGGTCAGGTGGACCGAACTCAAAATGCAAAATTCGCCCGGCATTGCTGACTGGCCCGTCATCGGAAGTGCCCCGCGTGAGGGGCAGCTCAAACTAAACTCGTTTGTTCCTGGATTAGCAAACTATTATGCCGTCCGACTCAATAACGTCGGTGATAATAAGCTCGGCGCCGGCGCGCGCGGGGTTTCCAAGAGTTCGAAAATAGCGGATTCTCGCCGAGAGTCGCAGGCCAAGCAGGTTCATTGCATCGCATTAGCGATAGGGTATTGATCGCCTTCAAGCCCTTGTTGCCTTTAGTTAGACGTTTGGTGGGAGCTCCACCTCTGATGAACAGGAGCTGTAAGATTATGTTTGCAATGGACTGGATAACAGCACGACGTATGGAGTGTTTCAAAACATAATATTACATAGATCAACCCGTATATTCATCGTAGGGTATTAACTAAGAACTAGAAGGTTCGTAGATTCATTACTGCGTTCATCATTGCGCACTTGAGAACTGTAATCGTCGCCGCAAAATTGCAGCTCAATCAGCCAAGAAAAACACCATCGCTTCAACACATCCGTGTCACCTCTCTAGATAATTTCATATCTGCGCAGAACAGCAAGTACCAGGGGCGGAATGCCTCGGAGATCGTTCTCATCGGGGCCAAGTCTGGAAAAGTCATCATTTCCTCTGAGGGCTTCTTGAGCAGCGATATTTGCTTCGGGTGTATCAGCGGCACTGATATCCGCAAAGGCAGCTTCCGCGTTGGGAAAGTTGGTGATCGGAATAGCTGCAGCTTCAGCTTCGGTGACAGGACCCGCAAGAGCCTTGTTTCTGTCGCCGACACCAAGGGCTCTTGCCACTCCGGCAAGAAGATCAGTGAGCACAGGCACGGCCTTGGATGGGATCTTGATCTTCCCAGCACGACCATCGTACTCGTCGATGGCGGCTGTGAAGTTGCCCTGAATCTGGTCGCTAATCTGGGTAGCGATGGGTTGGAAAGTTGGATCAAGCGCTTTGGTAAACTAGGCAAGAGTCAGACAGGCACTCCTCTGGATCACAGAAGACGTTTAACTTACTGCACCACCCAAATCTCCGGCCTTGTCCTTTTGAATAACCACAGAGTCGCGAATAAGACTTCTCACGTCCAAGATTCTGAAGCCAGCCTTGTCGAACTCTGGACGCTTACCCTGGACCTCAGTCAACAAGTTGTTGATCTCCGGCTGGAGACTAAGGAACTGTGTGCCGATCTGGGTCCTACAAGTGACAGGGTTAGCACAGACATTCCAGTTTCCCATCGGAAATTTCAAGAAACAGCGGCTTACGATTCGTTTGCCGGCAGGGTGTTGGTGGCCTCTGCGGACTTTGTGCTGACATCGATGGTACTTCCAAGGGTGACAATCGCCTCGTTTACTTTCAGCAGCCCCACCAAGCCTTTGAGTGTGCCTCCCTCGAAGGGGACAACTGTATCATTGGCTTCGGCAACCCGCTTTCGAAGATCTGCGATCTGGTTTTGGAGGGCAGCAGCTCCTCCTCTGACAGGCTGATTGTCACCTTTGCCTCCCTTCCCTTTGTCTTTGTCTCTGCCGCCGCGGCCTTTTGCCTCTGTTATTGGCATCGCCATCTGGGCACTGGCCACGCCAAGGCAGAGAAGGAATGATAGGAGAATGTAGAGCCTCATATTGATAGGCGATTTGGGATAAGTCGGAAAGTAAACGAATGGGGCAGAGTTGCTTAGAAAATGATGGCACAATCTCGTGATAGGTAATTGTCTGCTTTGGGATTTTTGGCTCGGACATGGCGGATAAGATCGTGGGATAAGCCATCACGTAAATACTCGGAATGAGACTTTCACGAGCCGTGACGCCGAGGCAAATTCAGCTACAATATGAACGGGTCTTGATAGACGAACAGGGCTAAGGGTAGATGAGGTAACAGCCAGCCTGGCCCCAAATTGACCAAAGAGCCGAAATTCATAGAATCGGCGACTTTGTGACGGGCCATCGCGCCGGCGGGAATCCCAAATCTCTGGGCAGAAGCAAGGGTCGAGCATGATGCCACGCGGGGTTCAGTCTGTAACCACAAAGTTTCTCATCGAAGCCATGCCCTTGAACCCATACAAGCATACAAGTTGGGGGCCCCGTGGGGAACTATGGGCTCCCCGCGAACTGGTGCTGAGACCCCCCTCATGAAACACGGTTGGGTGGGAGACTCTGGACACCATCTTACATGTTTGACCAATCAGACACTTGATGTTTCCGAGTAGACTCGCAACTTATACTTTTAAAGTCGTCACCAACAGGGGAAGACTTCGTCAACCTATCTGCTGATCCTATATTACATATAACATACGGATGCCTCGACAACAAGAGCCGCGAATAAATGCCCAGCACCTTCCCTCGGGATGGACGGGGGCTTTACTTCCCATGTCACCCTCCATTCTTGAATGAAGAGGGTGGCCACTGGTGGGATGTGATGAAATAGGGATGTCGCTTTCGCTATGCAACGTTCGTGAAGTCCTGGGTGCACCCTCCATCTCCCCTTTCAACTCTACGTCACCATGGAAAGAAACTGCCACCAGACGATGGGTAGCTTCTGCCATGCATCGGCTGAAAGAGGGGGGATCTATTCGTCTTTCATTGTCTAGACCGCCGTCAAGGTTCCCCGCCCGTGATTTCGCGCAATTGGAGTTCATGGGCTTGATCAAATGAGGGATCAGTGGGAGAAAGCCTCCATCGTCGGGCTTTTTTGATTGCCCATCACATCCACCTCCTCGGGTTCGGTGAAGTCATTGAGCCGTCGCCTAGAGGTCGTTGGACCCTTGGCCCAAGCTGGCCATCCGATGCAATGACTGTAAGAACAGATGATGATCAAGGTCTCTGTAATCACTCTCGCCTATCGCATCTCACGTTCCTTCTTCTTTACAAAACTTCGAGACACCGCTACCGGAGCTCATCTACTGGCCGCAGATGGTGGGCTACTAGGCCCTTCTGACGGCTCGGAATTGGAAACCACACAGATGCTATGATCTTGGTCGGAGCTCAAGATCTGAGTGATCTCATGACGGGCACCCTCGATGGGGTTACCGGTAGATACGCTACCGACGCTGACAAGCAACCCTGCTTGCGTACATGCACTGCGCTGCACAATCAAAAGTGCGGTCGACAGAAACTATCATCTCTTGCATCCTCAAAGCTGACAGGTTAATATGTAATTTTCGTGTTGTCCTAATCGGGCATCTGCGGGAGATTTCACTGACTCTCCTACCCATTTGAGTTCAGGTCTGCAAACCGAGGCGGTCCTAATCTGATCACGCGATTCGTGCCCCGCACCATGGTTTGATCGGAGGTTGGGAGACAGCGGGAGGGAATCAGAAGAGAATGGGGGGAGAAAAGGCAAGCAGCCGCTGCGAAAGTCTAGACCAGCACGGAAGCAGCTCTTCGAAGTGGAGAAATACCCGTCTTAGAATTCCGGTGACCCAACACGGGAACGCAGGACTTCGGTCAAGGAGACCCCTAGGCAGGCGATGTTAAACACCGAGACGGCGTCCGAGAAACGCGATGGAGGTCGGGTCCGGTGAGAACTTTCTAGTTAGACGAACAATAAGCTTAGGTATGTGCTCAAGCTAAGCCTTACAACCAGAAGAAATCCGCAGTCACTCAACAAACTAATGTAAGGGCAAAGGGCAAAAAGAATAGTCCCCGCCTTCTCGTCAACCTGCAAAGCTAAAACAATCCTACCGTCGATCAATCTTACTTGAGGCTCTGCGAATGATTCGGCACAGGTCGAGAGTGCTCTGTGCTCCCACCCACATTCGCCGTTTGGACTTGGGGCATCCGGTTTCGGACGA